GGTTCGAGACCCACCTGGGCAACTTGGCGAGACCTCATCTCTACAATAAATAAAAAATATTAGCCAGGCGTGGTAGCACGCGCCTGTAGTTCCAGCTACTGCCTGTAGTTCCAGCTACTTGGAAGCTGAGGCAGAAGGACCACCGGAGCCCAGCAGGTCAAGGCTGCAGTGGCTGGGAGCAGCCACTGCACTCCAGTCTGGGCGACAGAGTGAGACTCCAACTCAAAAACAAACAAACAAAAAAAGAAAGTAAAAGTTTGAAAGAATGCGGGATTACAGGTGATTTTGACTTTTATATGCTTCTTTCATATTTTTGAAGTTACAGCCTTCTTAATGGGAAGATGTGAGGTAGCTACACACTGACAGAGAAAGGTGTGTGGAAGACCACCAGGACCACTGGCTGGGCCAGCAGAGGGCCCCAGGGGCCATTCCACCTTCCAGTTAAAAGAACCAGCTGGGAGGGCAAATTCTGGGTCTGAATTACAAGCTATCAGAAAAACGAGGCCAGGCCAGGGCCCAACATGAAGTCAGCCAGGGTGGACCCAACGGCTGAGGGGTCACGGCCCCCAGGAATGCAGGGGGTTAGCCCCCACCCTCCACAGCTTAGGACCATCTTAAACCCAGCCATAGGAAGTAGTTGGAGTTCACTTCAGGATAGTCCTTGAGCCCCTGGGAAGGGCCCATCACCAACCAACAGGCCTCCAGGCTAAGAAAGGGCCCAATATCCTTGACAGGTTCCTAGAACAAGATTCTGCAGCAAGAGTCAAAGCATTCTTTCACTCACTCCAAAAAATACTAATTGAGCATCTACTAGGATAGTCATGCTTATTAAGGGATACTCGTGTCAGCCATTTTGCTGAGTGCATTGCATAAATTAATTGACTTAATCCTCCCTACTACGCTACGATGTGGGGGTGTCATGGGTGTTCCTATTCCCATTTTACAGAAGGAGAAACTGAGACACAGAAAAGATAACTAACTTTCCCTAGGTCACACAGCTGAGATTTCCGGCATCAGAGCCCACACTCTTATGACCCTTCACAAGTTTTCTGCACTAGACACAGGTGGAAGGGACTGAGAGGGATAGTGTAGCATGATAAGGCTACAACAAGAATGGAGTGCAGATGGGAGCACAGTGGGGCATGCTGGGTCAGCCTGGGTGGATGGGGGAATCCAGCAAAGCTTACTGATGGAGACTGTCTGCGTTCGACTTTCAAGGGGTTGGGGTGAACCAGGTTTGATTGACTGGAAGAGTGTTCTAGGTAGAAGAAACCTGAGGCATGAAGGTGAGAGAGCTCGTAGCTCTTGTGAGGAACTGAGGACCACTGCATGTGACCCCTGCACTGTCACCCAGGGGCATGTGACGGGGAGAGGCTGGAGAAGTTTGTGGAGCCCAGCCACAAGTGGCCTTGTCAGACATCTGAACTCTATCCTGGGAGCACTGGGGAGCTATTGAAAGATAAGGCTGCAACAAGATAAGACTGAAAGGTATACAGGCCAGGTGGGGTGGCTCATGCCTGTAATCCCAGCACTATGGAAGGCAGAGGCGAGAGGATTGCCTGAGCCCACGGGTTCGAGACCAGCCTGGGCAACATGGCAAGATCTCATCTCTACAATAAATCAAAAAATTAGCTGGGTGCAGGGGTGCATGCCTGTAGTTCCAGCCACTTGGAAGGCTGAGGTGGAAGGATCACCTTCTCCATCGGCCACCAGCTTGAACAAGTCCCTGTGACTTCTGCGTGCCTCAGTTTCCTCGGGTGTGCAGTGGGGATAAGGTGGCCCCTGCCAGTTGGCACGTCATACGTGCTCAGTAAGTGTTAGTCAGACTTCTTTGTCATTTAGGGGATAAGGGCAGGGGATTGACTCACTTTGCCTTGGCCCTGGGAGAGAAGGGCTTGGATTCGAGTCACCTGCAACACAGTGGTGAGGGGCTCTTCTAACCCACTTCCATCATGCGGGGGCGGGGCACTGAGCCCTGAGGTGAGGGTGCACGGTGTTCTTAGAGACAGGAGGACAGGGGTTACCATTAAGAGCTGAAGAGTCATGTGACTGCCTGGAGGCGAATCATCTGGGGGAAATGCTGCTGCCTTCATCACAATTAAGCGTCAGGATGTTCTGTGAAAATTGGAACTTCAGGGACATGTGTTCCCTGACAGCTCGGTCTCCTGTCAGGTTTTCCCCGCGGTGTTTTCCCTGGCCACTCTTGCTCGCACTTTCTGCAGGCAAAGTCTCAACTTGACTCTTTTCCACTAAGGCTGCCTTTTCCCTTTCCTCTTCCAGATCCTCATTTTCTTAACAATAAAGAAATGTCTGATGTCACCTTCCTGGTAGAGGGAAGACCATTTTACGCTCACAAAGTGCTGTTGTTTACAGCATCCCCACGGTACGTATCATTGATTTTGAAAGCAGCTGAATCACAACTCCAGCTGCTGCAATTACTATTTTTCAAGGTCTCATTTTGGTGGCATCTTCACTGCCCTGGCAGATTATCGTCACAAAATCAAGGATTCACGAGTTACACTGGCATAAACAGCCTAGACCAAGGTATCCCTTCGTCTAGCCAGATGAAGCCCTGCACCAAGGGTAGAACTTGGGAGCAGAGCATGGATCAGATTTGGCTCCCTCAGCCAAGTGCCCTGAGACCCCGTACACAGCAGACTTGAGAGGCTCATTCTGCAGGGAACAAGCCCAAGCATAAGGCATTGGAATACACAGGTCCTGACCTTACTTTTCTCTAGCTGTGGAGTTAATGTTCAACAGTATCATGTAGCAATAGGAAGAAGTAGGGACTTCCGCCACTGTCGATCTGATATCCAAGATGGCTGCTAAGTGAGTCATATAGGCGGGTAGTGTAGACAGCGTTGGAGCTGCTGAACAAAGGGACAATTCATATCCTTGCAGGCTCTTTGACTACTCTTTCTCCTCCGTTCGATTTGAGTTGAGAGTGGGTTGATAATTTAGAGTCACATGATCTGGCTGGGCACAGTGGCTCATGCCTATAATCCCAGCACTTTGGAAGGCCAAGGCAAGAGGATTGCTTGAGCCAAAGAATACAAGAGACCAGATGGACAACATAGCGAGACCTCGTCTCTACAAATAAAAAAATTCGCCAGGTGTAGTGGCGCATGCCTGTAGTCCCAGCTACTCAGAAGGCTGAGGTAGAAGGATCCTCTGAGTCCAGGAGGTCGAGGCTACAGTGAGCTGTGATTGTGCCACTGCACTCCAGCCTTGGCAACAGAGTGAGGCTCCAACTCAAAAACAGAGAGAGAGAGAACGAAAGAACCACATATCCAAGGACATGCACAGGCTGAGCAGAAGAGAGAATGGTGCTGAGGTGAGATCACAGGCAGCCAGGTAGTGATCAGGAAACTGGGGACCCAGAAACAGAATCCCAGTGCAGGAAGTTTGCTAAGGAAAGGTGGGTGACCGCATTCTCTGGGTTCCTCAAAGCAGCCTGACATCTCCAGTGCCCCCCTCCCAAAACCAAATACAAACCCCAAAGGTCTGTTTTGCCACCACAAGAAAAATGTGTTCCTCCCTGATTGTTCCCATTTGTGATGCCGTAGACAAACTAGAAGGATATTGCACCAGTGCGGACTTCTTTGTTTTGACAAAGGTACCATGACTGTGAGTGTTAACGTTAGGGGAAGCTGGGTGAAGGGGAAGCAGGAACTCTGTGCTATCTTTGCAACTCTTCTATAAATCTTTAATTTCAAAATTAAGAGTTTTTAAAAAATATAAAAACAGGCCAGGCACGGTGGCTCACACCTGTAATCTCAACACTCTGAGGAGGCCAAGGTACAAGGATGCTTGAGCCCAGGAGTACAAGACTAGCCTGGGCAACATAGTGAGACCTCATCTCTACGGAAAATCAAAACACTTAGCCAGGCAGGGTGGCACACACCGGTAGTCCCAGCTACTCGGGATGCTGAGGTGGAAGGATTGCTTCAGCCCAGGAGGTCAAGGCTGCAGGGAGCCATGATCTTGCCACCACACTCCAGCCTGGGTGACAGAGTGAGACCCTGACACACACACACACACACACACACACACACACGAGACACAGCTTATTCCTAAATGTACTATCAGTGTGTTCTGTTGATAGAGTCTTTACCCACAAAGAGCTTTTAGTTTAGTTCATGGGCAGGAAAGTGCATCTAAAACTCAAGACAGGAGATCACCCATGAGGGAGATCATTAGGCAGTCAACAAACAGTTAAATACCTACTGTGTGTCAGGTTCCTACTGGGACAGGACCTGGGGTTGCAGCAGAGACAGGAACCACTGCAATCCCTGCTCTCGTGGAGCAGAGCTTGTGTGGGAGGAAGAAAAGGGGTTTGGAGAGCCCCCAAGGTACCACGGGGGAATGAAGCCACAGCCCCAAGCTCAGGAAAGACCCCATGAAGGAGGCACCAGGTGACAAGCCCTGAGAATGGTTAGGGTTTTACCAGGCATTCACTCTTTTCCAGTCCCCAGTTTGAGAAATAATATAACCGTTGGCTATTTTTAATGTCAGAGTTGCAGCTGCACATTAGATTATGGTAAAACAGGAGAGGTTTATATCAAGAAAAGTGTGGATCCATCACTGCTGTATTTCAGCGCTGGGGGTACAGGTATCTGTCATCAGGAGAGCTGAGGGTTTTGCAAACCAGGGATGTGTGCATCTGTTAATCTCTCGGTCTGTGTCCTTGTTCAGGTTCAAGGCACTTCTCTCTAGCAAGCCGACCAGTGACAGCACCTGCATAGAGATCGGCTACGTGAAGTACCCCATTTTCCAGGTGAGCCTCCTGGGGTGGCCTGGGCTCTGCTGGTGGACACAGGGCCAAAGTGTGGCCTCGGGTCCTTAGCCTGTGAATAAGCCGCATGGGGACACCCCTGGGGACCCTCCTGAGCTGGCCTCCCTCACACTGTCATCCACTCATCCCTGCCTGAGCACTGGCTGTGCTCGGCTCTGTGCTGACGGCCAGGGACAAGAGAACGAAGGACGTCTAGAGGGGGCAACTGAGTAATCAGGCAATGACAATACGGTAGCCCCCCTCATCTGCAGGGGATATGATCGAGACCCCCACGGATGCCTGAAACCACGGACAGTGCCAAACCCCACAGCATGTCCTTCCTATACATACAGACCTATGACAAAGTTCAATTTATAAATAAGGCACAGGAAGAAATGAACAGTAATAATAAAGTTGAGCAATTATCACCACACACCAGCATCACCACTCTTGCGCTTTGGAGCCATGATGAAGTAGCATAAGGGTTATTGAACACAAGTACTGCGACACCACCACTGTCGATCTGATATCCAAGATGGCCGCTAAGTGAGTCATATAGGCGGGTAGTGTAGACAGCATTGGAGACGCTGAACAAAGGGACAATTCACGTCCTGGGCGGGTTGGGTCAGGATGATGTGAGATTTCATCACACTACCCGGGACAGTGTGCAATTTAAAACTTAGGAACTGTGTATTTCTGGAATTTTCCATTTAAAATTCTCAGACTGCAGTTGGCCGCAGGTAACTGAAACCTTAGAAAGTGAAACCGCAGATAAGGCGGGGACACTGTGAATTGTGGGCTTCACAAGAGAGGGGTGAGCCAGGAGGTTGCAGTAACTCGGACCAAGGAAGTTGGGGAAGGAAGGCCCCCTGGAGGAGGTGTCATGAGCTGAATATCCAAGGCTGAGAAGTTGGCGCACCAGAACAAGGTTAGGGCTCAAGACGGCGGGCTGGAACATGCCAGGCAAAGAGATTAGCATGTGTGAAGTCCCAGAACTTTGGCTGAGTCCAGTGTCATCAGCATAAGCAAAGGCACAAGAGAGGAGAGTCAGAGTGAAAGTGATGATCAGTTCATTCAGCTGGGTCTCAGGCATTTTGGATACTAAAAAGACACGTTGGGAACACATGGTGTGAACCTTGAATGCCACTGTGCCAGGAAAGGACTCTTGTCCCCCAGACCTTGCCATTCAGAAGGCTTCCCGGAAGTACATGCCGGCCCTCAAAGCTGTTGAGGTGCTTGAATTTCCACCATTTGAGATGTGCTCCTTTGCTTAGGATCGAAACTTCAAAATAATCCTTCTCGAATAACCATGGATAAGACCTGTCTTCTCTGAGTCTCAGTTTTCTCATTTTTTTAAACATGCCAATCATTTTCGCCTCTCTGTCTTGTGTTCTAGCAGAGATTAGAATCTCACGCAGAGACCGAGTAGGACAACACAAAAAAAAGTTTCCACGTGGCATCTGGCGCATCAGGTCAATTTGTATTTTTGTTTTTTTGGTTTTTTTGAGACTTGGTTTTGCTATGTTTCCCAGGCTGTTCTCGAACTCCTGGGCTCAAACTAGCCTCTCACCTCAGTCTCTCAGAGTGCTGGGATTGCAGGCATGAACCGCCACGCCCGGCCATCATGGCCATCTTTTTTTTTTTTTTTGAGTTGGGGTCTCACTCTGTCACTCTCTCAGGCTAGAGTGCAGTGGCATACTTACGCAGTCTCCACCTGCTGGGCTCAGGTGATTCTTCTGCCTCAGCCTTTCAAGTTAACTGGAACTACAGGCGTGCACCAACTCGCCCAGCTAATTTTTTGGTTTATTGTAGAGATGAGATCGCACCAGGTTGCCCAGGGTGGGCTCAGGCAGTCCTCTCACCCAAAGTGCTGGGATTACAGGCGTGAGCCACCACGCCCAGCCATCATGACAATTTTTAAGTGGGTTGTTTTTCTAAGCCATAACTGGTAAACCACCTCCCTGCACAGGACCCTATAGAACAGGTTTCTTCTGACTAGAGATTGGAGAGAGGATATGAGGGTTTCCAAAGACAAGGCCAGCCCGGGGGCGCCATCCCACTGAGGTGAAGGAGGTGGGAGAGGTCAGCAAGGAGGCTGGAGGCTGGGGCCTGGAGCTGGGACTGGGGATTGGCACATTCCAGACATCCAAGTGCCTGTTTCCCCCTCACCACCATTTCCTACTGAGAGCAAAGTGGCCACAGCCTTTTCCTGAGTGGCAGCTGTTGGGTTTGACAATTTCCATGAAACAGTTGCTTAACTTTGGGGTTAGGGGTGGGACAGGCAGTGAAAAAACATTTATGGAGCTATAGAATGAGGTGCTGACCTGTGCTTGCACGGGGTTATCTGGATTTTTTCTTGAGACAGGGTCTCACTATGTTGCCCAGGCTGGTCGCAAACTCCTGGGCTCAAGCGATCCTCCCACTTCAGCCCCCTGAGAAACTGGGATTACAGGCACATACCATCAGGCCAGTGGTTATCTGGATTATTATTGCCATTTTTATAGACGAAGAAACTACGCCCCAGAGAACCTAAGTAATGGGCCTCAGTCCTAGTGACAGAGCCAAGATTTGAACCCAGTATGCCTGGGGACTTTGTTCTGGAATACCTTTTCTAAATGGGAATAATAATAAGGACAATTCCCACTTCTTGAGTACTAACCATGTGTAAGGCTTGAATCACGTGGGGGGGCTTTCAAAATCCCCAGTGTCCAGGCCATAAGTCAGACCAATGAAATCAGAAGCTAGGGGGTGGGACATAGGCATCAGCATTCAGAAGTCTGTTCCCCCCTCCCCCATTATCCCAACGTGCAGCCTCAGTGGAAAACCTATGCTCTAAATGACAGCATTTTTTGCATGTTGGCAGCTCAGGATCACCCGG